TGGACTTGAATATTAACACAGTCATTCAGAAGGGAAAGTCACTGAGCCTGATAAATTCTGCCATCACTGCCCCTCACTCGCTCACCTGACTGGACTGCTTATAAGGCATTGTTTTTAAGGGAGGGCCTTGGAGCCTCAAACATCACTGTCCCACCCACACCAGCGAGACCACTCCTCACCCTTTCTGCCTTACCTGCCACCTGCTCTGCCAAGAGTGGGCACCCCCTTAGACTCCCTCTTCCCTGTCCCCTGGCTGTCACTCAGCTCTCTGCTTCCTGGCCTTCCCCGGGAACACCATCTCCATCTCCTCTGCCTGAGCTCCGAGAACCACTGCCATCCCACTCCAGCCACAGGGAACATTCCCTGCTCTGACTCCACTAGCCCATTGTTATTTTGCTTCTTTGGCCCTGAAGCCGGACAGCCGTGTGCCATTCATACAACCTTTGGTGCATATGTCTTCTCTCAAGCGAGGGACCTAACTCCCAGCACAGGGCCTTGCATACAGGAGGTGTACTAAAACATTTCATCAGTTCATTCTTGCAAAAAACAGAGGGAGAAGAAAAAGAGAGGGAGGCAAGCAAGATGGCCTGTGGAGAGTATTCAAAACAGTTGTTCTGGCTAAGGAAAAATGGAATGGAATTTGCACCTATCAGAAAGATCAAGAATCTAGCTACTCCTTGTTATTCTTGGCACAAAGTCAGGTTTATCTGGGCTGGGAAACAGTCCCTTATATCCCTGGGAACACACAGGAGTTAGGGGAAAATAAGAGACAGAAGTGGACATAGGCTGATGTTGTCATGGGGTGCTCTTTTTGGCTCATGCTCAGTGCGATCCCATTCTAAACAGGAAAAACAATGGTACTGAAAATTATTCCGCTAGTGATACTAAAGCAGGTGTGCCCCATCCACACCTTTCTGCCGCTTCATGAACCCCAGTTCCAGTTTGATCCTTAGAGACTTACTTCCATTGCCTTCAAGCCCAGCAGGGAGAGAAACCTGAGCACGTATGTTGGGACTCGAGGGAGAGCAACAAGGGTGATGTGCCAGGCCAATTCTGACTGCAGAGGCTTCAGTGGTATCTCTTTGTCACTGGTGTCTATCCTTGGTTTTCATCTTTATGCTTTACACTGCTTTGGGCCCTTAACGGGCAAAATATTCCCACTTGGGCAAAGACTATGCCTGGAATTGGCAATGGGGCAAGCAGGCAGACAGGCAGGCAGGTAGAGGCTGGCTCACTCTCCTGCCCTCTACCTCCACCAGCTGGAGTCCCTGTCTCTTTGTCTTCTGTCCCTCCCTTGCCTTCCTCTTTCTCTTTCTCCTTCCATCCCAAGCATGTCAGTTTCTCTGCTCTCTGTCTTCAAATCTCTCTCCCTTTCTTCCTCTGCCCCCCTTGGCTGTCTCTGTCTCCTTCCTCTCCCTGTTTTGGGCTATGTGCATGGGTCCATCTCTTTCCCTTCTCTATGGAAGCATGCACGTATTTGCTTCCTGTCTCTCTCCCTGTTCTCCTTCTCTGTCTACCTGGCTCCTCTCTTGTGTGGCTTTTCTATCAGATCCCTGGATTGGGAGCCAGAAGACTCAGTTTCTGGTCCTGGCACTACATTAAGGACTTGTGTGGTCACAGCCACATTATTTCACATCTCTGGACCTCAAGTTCCTTCATCATATCATAGGTTAGATTAGATGGTCTTTCAGGTCTTTGACGGCTCTGAGATTTTCTCACTGAATCAAACAGAACTCGGCAGCCTCCCCACCACTGCCCCCCGCTCCCCCGCCCCCAAGCAATCGCTGTTGTCCAAACAGGAGAATCATGCTGGGGTCCCAACAGCACGAGCACCAGGGGGCGCTCGAGTCCCACCCAGAGGATGTGACTAAGGAACTAGACAACGCTGATGGAGGCTTTACTACCTGCTAGGCAGCCAGGGTGCTCAGCCTTGTACTTGTCTCTCATTCAGTCCACTGAGATAGGTACTATGATCATTCCTGTTTTAGAGGTCACTAAGCAGAAGCACCAGAGGTGAAATGCCTTGCCCAGTCACACGCCAAGACTTGAAGAACAGGTTACACTCAGGGTGTCTGCCTGCAGAGCCGGTGTTCCTACACAATTCTGTATTCTTCCAGCCACTGATGCTCGCTCACGAGCTCTCCACTGAGGCTGCTGAGTAAACATCTCTGGACCCCCCAAGGTGCTCAAGAATCTTGGATCCAGACTATATGGTTCAGTCAATTCTCTCCTCCCTCAAGACACCAACTCTGACTTCTCATGCTTCTGCATATAACTGTTCCATCAATACTCTACTGCCCTGCATACTGAATGGCATATTCTGGTCGAACTGTTCTTTATATTTTCAAATGGGTATGTCTTGAGCCATTCTAATGAACCAGGCATCTTGCCAGAACGTAATGCAGTGCAGTTCCAGGCCCACTGCAGAAGACAGAGCTTTCTGAATAACTGATGAGCACCAGCATACTTTGTGAGCCCTGAGGCTGCATCCTCTACCTTGTCTGTAAACACCTGGGACCCTCAAGACTTTCACATCACTATTCCTGCAGGCAGACTCCAGCTACTCACGAGCAACTACTGCGTGGGCTGAGGGGGAGGCTTAAACGGTGTTCACCTCACAGAAACAGAAACTGGGGGTCCTCTGACAATTTCAGCTCAAGGCAGCAAATATAAAGAGAACCCCAGCCTCACGTCAGATATAGCCAAGAGTTGTGAGGTGCACAGAGAAGTAGTAGCCGTGGTTTCTACTCTCCAGGAGATATGGAATAGATGAGATGAAACATGCAAAATAAAGATGATAAACCTATAAAGCTTCTGGGAGTCAGGAGACCAAAGTCCAAGTCTTTCACCCTAACTGTTGAGTGCCTTATGTCCAGAAGCCTTCTGAAGCACCAGCTCAGACACCTGCTGGGCACTAATGACTGCCTGGGTATACGGTACACCCTGGAGACCCACCAGCAGATGCAGCAGCCCCTGCTTCTCCACACTCACCTGTGCCCCCCCCCATGCCAGTGTCACTGACATGGGGAGGGAGAGCCTGTGTGGGACAACGGGGAAATGAAGTTATGTTCCAGAAGTGAGAGTCACACAACCTGAAAAGAACAACGGAATTGCCATCCTGGGGGATTCAGTCCTCATGGAAAATCTGAACCCATCACATCCACCTCATAACATTCTACTTGCTTTTGCTCAGTGCCGACAACGTGATCGGTATGGTAGAGAGGAAATGATAGCGTGTCAATTCCAGAAATACTCTCATTTTTAAGAGCATGATATAGAATGGCCCCAGGTGTAGTTTTACTATACTTTCTTCCTAGCTTCCGTGTGGATGTCATGGTGGCCACAGAGAAGTCTGGGAACAGCAGTTCCCAGACAATCCAAGTCTGGATGCCAACTTCCTGCTGGGGAGGCTTTTGCCTGCCCCTCTCGCAGCCCCTCTACACCTCTCCAGTGCCCATCCTGGTACAACAGCCGCGGAAACAGCAGGAGGGCAAAGAGCACACCAAGGACGTGGCACAACCCGCAGCCTGGTTACCTCCATGAGTCATTCCATATTCACTGAAAGAGTAACAACCCCGTGTGTGCCTCTGGAGCCTGGCACCTCCCTCTGTCTCAATCACAGACGGACTCCGTGCTCTCCTGTGCTCTGGGATGATGTATTTATCTGGACAGTTCCAGATGGTAGGAGTGGGCAACTGATTCATTTGCTTCTCCATTCCCAGCAGGCCCCACAAGGGTTTCGGAGCCGGGGCCAGCACATAAATGCCCATCTCTCCGGAGGCTGAGGTGTCACCTCTGATGACTCAATCACTTGCCCCAGCCTGGGGCGGCGGCGGGGAGGGGGTGTCTGCAACAAAGTTAGGGCAGCCCAAGACTTGGGAACAGTCCTGAAGGCCTGTCTACTCCCAGGACTGGTCACATGGCGAACCCCCTCCCAGAGGTTGTCACAGCCAGTGACAGGATGCCCTGCTCTCCCTCCACCCTCCCTCGGTCTCAGGGCACCGAGCACTGGGGCCCTTCCCAACAGCAGCTGTGAAGGCCTGTCCAGCTGGCTCTCAGGTTCCATGTATATTTTGATACACTTTTTGATTACAACTGGCCGATTCCACAGAAAGTATACCGCAGAGGTAATCACAGAGGGTACAGAGGAGTGTGAAATGTTATTTTATAGGTACAAACTTGAAATTATGTGCTGGCCACAGAAAAGTCTGATAGCATGAGTGCCCCCACCCTTGCCTCTCACAGTGAAATCAGCAAGGAGGTGATGTTAAGCTCCAACGTCGGTCTCCAGCTCCCAACTAGCTCCCCATCCCCCAGAATATCCACACCAGAGCAAAGCTCCCAGGGATCCCCAAGGAGACAGAGAGAGAAAGTAGGAGGAAAAAGAATGGGCTATTTCATTGGAAAGGCTGTCCTTTCATGGTCAAAATATAACCATTTCTTTATCATTTATGGTAAAGGGAAAAGCTATGACTGGTATAATAATGCAAAAAGACAGACTAAGCCAGAAATAACCTCTAATCATTAACAGCCCATGTTTTAAATCTCATCTGCCAAGTAAAACCTTGCCGAAGAATCTTCCAAAGGCCCTGTACCCCAACCACCCCCCAACTTTGGCAGACCCCCTGCCTCCCCGATCGAGAAGTGAGCTCATGGTGCATGGTCCAACACTGACAGTGCTCAAATAAGCCCCGCCCCCGGCCCTGGAGCCATCTAGAAAGCTCCTGCCCGAGGGAGGGTCAAGCTCTTGCCCAGAGACAGCCATGCCGTGTAAGCGCGAGGAAGCGCTCGGCCTCTGACGGAGCCTCCTGCCCCCCACCAGAGTGAGCAGGACCCTCTGAGGCTGCTTGGGCAGGAAGTCCAGGGGTGGGCGCAGCTGGGGCCGAGTGGCCCTCTTCCCTCTGCCTGTCGGGGGTTCCCGGGCCTGATCGCCTGCCTCAGGGCCTCGGGGGCGTCTGGCTGCCTGGGATGGGTGCGAGGAGGGGGCAGCGGCCCGGTACCTGCTGCACGTCCTGCTGGAAGACACAGAGCTGCAGCCGCTGGTGGAGCCGCACCTTGCGGTGCTGCCAGATGCTCTCGAGCCGCCGCTGGTGGTGCAGCACCTCGTGCACCACGTCCAGCACCTGGTGCACCGCCTTGGAGTAGTTGGCCGTGGCCGTGAGGGACTCCGCGTTCCCAGGGCTCAGGGGCCGCTGCAGCACATCCAGCAGTGCTTTGCCATCCTGGCTGACCTGCAAGAGGGAGAGGTCAGCTCACGGGAACCGAGGGGCGGGCGGGGCGCGGGGCAGCAAGCAGGGTCGGCCCCGGCGGGCGGGGGGGGGGGGGGTCCCTCGTTAGGACCGGGAATCCCCTGACGCTCAAGGCACGCACCAGCCAGAGCGGCCCGGCGTGCAGCCCTGGCCTGGGGGAGGGGAGCTGCGCGGCCAGTGTCTCTCTCCCCCTCGAACTGGGCCGGGACTCTGCCTTGTTTATCTGTCCCCAGTGCTCAGAACAGTGCCTGGTCCATCATACCGGACACATATTCTGACTGATTCACTGAGTAGGTCGAGCGGCAGAACTTCGTTTCAGAAATGAACCAAAATATGAATTGATACCATAAACCTCTCTCCCTCTTTCTTTTTTTTTAAAGATTTTATTTATTTATTTGAAAGAGCGAGAATGAGAGAGAGTACATGAGAGGGGGGAGGGTCAGAGGGAGAAGCAGGCTCCTCGCCGAGCAGGGAGCCTGATGCGGGACTCGATCCCGGGACTCCAGGATCATGACCTGAGCCGAAGGCAGTTGCTCAACCAACTGAGCCACCCAGGCGCCCTCTCCCTCTTTCTTCTTCACTTCCTCTTCCTAGCTCTCAACTTCCAGACATGTGACCAGAGGCAAGTTACTTAACCTCTTTGGGCCTCAGTTTCCTTGTCTGTTAAATAGGGATAGGAATGGGACAACCTCACAGGGTTGTGGTGAGGACTGAGTGAGTTAACATGTGGAGCGCTCAGGACAGGGCCCCGGCAGGGAGGACTGGCTCCTAATTCTAGTTTCACCATCAGCATCTTTATCATCATTTCTCTCTCCTGTCTTCCTTATTTCCTCCTCATGTTCTTTCCTCTATATTTATCCTTCTTTTGCTCTCTTTCTATACAACTTCCTTGTTTTCTCCTGAGAATGGTAATATCCCCATCTTTCCAGAACATGCAGAGTAAGGGAGGGACCCTTCGACTGTAGACACAATAGCTATGCTCTTGCGTTCCCCAACATTCACCCTCAGTGCTGAGACCCACAGGGCTGACGTTCCCTGTCATTCCTTATTGGAATCTTGGTACAATTACAGGCACCCCTCTTTCTGCAAAGTGGCATCATCTGATCGACACCTGTGGCTCACCAGTGCTGGTCGAGGACCCAGCAGAGCATGTATCTTTCCAATTTAAACCAGTGGTGACCAGGGAGTTAGGGGATTTTAAGGCCCTAAGTTAATTTGGTTAATGATGAACTCAAAGTTGGTTTGGAGTTGAGACGGTCTTTCCCTTCCAGCAAGGTGGGGAAGCCAGTGTGCTCCTACCTCTGGCCTTAGGATGATGAATGAGGAGCTGTTTGCTGGGCTCCGGCCTCCCCTTACCCCACCCTCATGTCCTGATAATAGCTTGCTGAGGGCTCGGCAACACAAAGGCCTCTGTTACCTCCTATTCATGGGGCACCAGAAACGGTATGGGGCTGGGGGGCGGTGACTAAGAGGAATACTAGGCCGAGAGTACTGTAGCTGAGACAGGAGAGGAAGCCTGACTGGAGGAAGACAGCCGATCTAGATGACTACCTCTACCCACCCCATCCCACCATGCCTGCCTCCCGTAATGCATTGCCCGGGGAGGCGAAGAGGAAGCATCTCATCGGTGACACAAAGGTAACACCCTCCAGAGATGTGAATAAGACAAATATCCTGTGGCCAAACCCGGGACAGCTCTCCTCAGGGAACTCCAAGCAGATGCTGTCTTTGGCACCATGCTCTGTCCAGGGCAGGGTGGTTAGAGATGGAAGGCCAAGTCCTAAAATCCAAGTCAACAGAGCTCCAGCCCTCTGCCTCAGTCCACATCTGCAGGAGGCAGGGATGGCCCACTGACCTCTGAAGTGGGCTTGGAGTCGTGTCTGTGTCCCCCAGGGATAGGGCCTGAGAAAACACTGGGAGAAATATCGTGTCTCTCTGTAATGACACAAACACCCCACAAGTGTGAAACGTGTAAGTATGATATGAATGTCATTTGTACGCTCTGTGTTTATATCTTACAAGGAGTAAATTTAGAGATTCTTGACCCACGGCCATTCTTGACCCACAGTTCTGTTCTAAGAGAAAGCCTTGGGCCATTTGGACCAAAGCTGATGAGATCAGATTTGGCTCACAAGTCCTTCTCTCTGCCTCCTACAATAACAAAACCTGTTACCATTTTTTTAAGCACTTATTACTGTCAGGCACTGGGCCACGTGCATTACATGGGCACTATCTTTGTAACCCTTCAAACTACAGACGAGTGTTATCACCTTCATTACAGAAGAAAGTGAGGCTTAGAGTACTTAGGTAACTTGCCTGAAGTCACACCGATAAGGAGGGGGCTGAGAGTCAAACTCAGCTTTGACTGTGGCAAAACATTTACTCTCACGTAGAAGCCCTTGGTTCTTTGACTTCAGCATGCGTCAAATTTACCCGGTGTAATATTGACTAAAATATAGGTTCCAGGCCCTACTTCTTGACATTCTGATGCAGTCTGAGGTGGATCCCAGGAACAAGTCTGAGGCAAGTGGTCCCAGAACCCACTTGGAGAAACACAGCTCCAACTCTCCTTGCCCATGGGACAGATGTGAATTCACTTTCCCCTACTCATCCAGCTTCCTTAATTAGCCCATCTCTTTATGTCCCTCAGCCTCTCCCTCAGAATTCACACCGGTTAGTCAACTCACTCACTTGCGTAAGTCCACACATATGCCCCCTTCCTTTTCCTTGGAAAGCAATTTCAAGAAGACCCCCCTGCCCTTCTTAACTTGAACCATGCACCCGGCCTTTGATTTTTCAGTGAAAGAGTCTTTTAATTTGTCTTTCACTTCCATGGCAGCTTCTCACTCCTGCAAACACTTATCTCCACCCCACGGTGAGTTCTCCTCTGGACTTTCTGGGGAGAAAATGGGTATTTGTTGATGAGCTGCTTCATTAAAGGGGTGGCAGGGCTGGCCCGCCAGCCAGAAAGCACACTGAGGAGCACAGCCTTGCTTGCTCATATTCGTCTTCCAGGGGAGAGAGTCTGATCTTCACACATAGGGTGAGGGAGGTGTGTGTGTGTGTGTGTGCGTGTGTGTGCATGTGCATGCACACATAGGCACATGTGTGACAATGTGGTACCTGCTGATGGCCGCATTGTCTCTGCTTCCTGGCTGGAGACCTCATTGTTCATAGATCAAGGATCTTAAAGATGTCTCTAAAGGGAGAAAAATGGCCTCTCTCTTCTTCTTAGTCCAACCCAGGCTATTACACAACGTACAGGCCAGTGCTCTTGCCACTCACCCACATCCACACACACCCATGAGCCCTGCGTGTCCTGCGTGGTCCTCACCTCTGTGTAGGCCTGCGTCACCTGCTCATACAAGGACTGGTGGTGGTGGATGGCCAGCTCCAGGTCCTGCATCTCGGAGGGCAGGCCCCCCTCGCTGCACATCTTGCACCAGGCATCCACTCCCGACAGGAACTAGAAGGAGACAGCAGCTGGGTCAGTGTGGGAGCGCTGGGGTGGGCAATGGGCAGATTTTGTAGATCTGGTCAGATACCTTGGGAAGAAGCATTAGGGCCTCTGGGAGCCTCAGAGACCACTGCAGAGGGTAGAGTCTTTCTCTTTAATTCTACAAACACCAACCCCACGAAAGAAGTCAGACACAGCTCCTTTGTAGGAAGTGTGGTTTCCACAGACAGAGATGACTGTTGTGAAACCGCTGGGGTAGGAGCCGTCTACGTGTTCAATAGGCTATACCCACACACTGGCTACAAAGTGTGGGAACATGTATACCTTAGAACTCCTTGTCCTATGCACACTCACAGGCACACGGGAGAGGCTGCATGCAATGTAACGGGATGTTTCCACACAGGCATAGTGGGTTGTGAGACGGAACAAAGAACAGCTCATACAAGGCTATCAGGTACCCCAGGGAACTTGCAGGGGCCATTCCCACAGGGGCTGGAGATGAAAGCTCCACGAGATCCCCACTGTTGGGTCAGTATCTTTAGGGGTGGGAGAGGGGAGGGGCAGCTTAGGGGGACAGACTGCACCATGCCTATGGCAGCGCTGGCTCCTGGGATGGGATACATAGATATAGATCTCGACAGACAGCAAATTATTTAAAAATTAAAATGAACAACTGTGGAAGACTATGGGTCTCCATGCATAAAAGGTGAGCTAACTGAAATCACTGATTTATTGG